GCAGGCCACGGCGGTGCGGTCTCGCGCAGCACAGAGCCTGGACGCGGCGCTGTGGCGCTGAGGCCCTGCCCGCCCTACGCCGCAGAAGGCACCCTGCACGCCACCGCCCCAGGAGGTCCACCCCCTGGAGGCTCCGGCAGAACTTGGAGCGGCCAGCCTTGGGCCGTCTTCGGCCCCCAGGGGGCCCTCAAAGGGGCCCCTGGGCCGTCGAGAGAGGATTGAGGATCGAGATCTGGCCCCAGGAAGTGGTTCAGATCACGGGGGGTCCACGCATCGAAAGCATCGGTGTTCCGTATGTCTGGGACCACGCCCTGGGCAGCGGCCATCCCGGGCCCCAGGACGTCGCCTGAGAACAGGGTTGGCATGAACATACCCGTTGGGAGGCCTGCGGAGTTCTTCGATCGGCGCCGGGCTCCCCTGGTGGCGCCCCGCGCGCCACGGGGGGGTTGTCCAGCGCTGGTCCCAACAAAGAACTTCGCGCTGCCCTGCTAACGTTCACGTTCATGCTTATTCATAGTTATACATACACATTGCGTTGATATTTGTAAGTGTGTATACATAGGTATATAACTATACACACAGTTAACCATGTTGTTATTCTGGTTCGGCGATTCAGTATTCACCCTCTCCTGCTTGCGCCAAGAGGGCGTAGGCACCATGCGAAGGTCCAGGACGGCCCTGGCCTGGCGTGGTGGTGTATGCGTGCCGTCTGCGTGCGTTAGCTTCCCGCTCTGTCGTTCTACGCCTTCTCCCCCTCCTCTTTCTCCCCCCCCCCCTCCGCCTCCTGAGCTGCCCCGACACGCCCGTTTCGAAGCGAGCCACGTGCCATGCTCAAAACGCCCGGGTTAACACGCTGCGTGTTGGCTCGCCGTGGCGGCCTTCGTTTTGCAGGGGGAGAAAAATCACACAGACAGAAATAATCGGCGATCTCCCAGAACATCTGGGAAAATATGGGAAATGGGGGGGAATACGAAATCCAACAGATAAATCATCCTGGCGAAGGACCCGGTCACATGCAATTGTGAGTACCGTCGTTGCAGGTATCGCCTCTGGGGGACCTCCTCATGGGGCCATGGAGCATACGAAGGGTGTGCCGATGTGGGGCGGGGCCGCCATGTGGGCGCTGCCACTGGGGCCTCAGGCGGAATCCACTATGGGGCGGCGAACTGTGTGATGGGGTACCATGGGCGGCGCCGCCAATGAGGCCTTCGGTGGAGCTCCCTATGGGGCCACGACGCGCTGTACTGGATGGGGGAACCGCATGCGAGAGCAGCCACTGTGGCCTTCGGTGGAGCTCCCTTTGGGGCCACGAAGCGCTATACTTGGCAGGGGAAACGCATGCGAGCACCGCCAGTGGGGCCCTCCTCGGAGCTCCCTATGGGCCCACGAAGCGCTGTAATGGGTGGGCGAACCGCATGGGAGTGCAGCCACTGGCGCCTTCGGTGGAGCTCCCTATGGGGTCACGAAGCGCTGTGCTGGGTGGGGGGAACGCATGCGAGAGCAGCCACTGGGGCCTTCGGTGGAGCTCCCTTTGTGGCCACCCTTCGGCGTAGCTCCCCATGGAGCCACGAAGCGCTGTACTGAGTGGGGGGACCGCGTGCGAGAGCAGCCAAATGGGGCCTTCGGTGGAGCTCCCTATTGGGCCACGACGCGCAGTACTGGGGGGTAGACGCATACTGATGAGGGCAGACGCAAGGAAGGGGAAGAGGGAGGAGGGGGAGGAGCAGGGAGGAGAGGAAACGCGGGGCGCTGTCTCTTTTAACGAGGAACCAACACCACAGGATGGTTGGGAAATATCGGGGATCTCGGGATGAGTGTGTATTTATTTGTGTGTCCCTGGACCCACATTGAGTTTTGGCGAAAGTATCGCGCCATACCTTGGTTTCCAATATCCGTGTTGAGCTCCGTGTCAACACGCTACGGGATTCGCGTTGCGTGTCGGGGCGGCCGGGCGCCCCTCCCTTCTCCGACCCCCGCCCCCCCCCGCTTCCCGCCCCCCCCTCCGCGAGCCCTTCGGCTCACGGAGCGAGCATGCTTGGAAGCACACGTTGCTCCACGTCAAGATCGGAGCGGTGCCCCGCCAGCGCGCACGTGTCAGGGGCACTTGCGCCTCCCCCATCTCGCAGCCCTGGGGCCGGTGAGGGCTTTTTAGATGCCAAGGCTTGCCCGACTCCCTCCGTCGCGAGACTTCTGCAACGAGGGGATGTCTCGTTCTCGGACTGTGCCTCGGTCCTCGGGCAGCCGTTCGGGACGTTTCGGGTATCCCCGAAACGCCCTCGACGAGGCGCATCTCATGGAACGCATCCCGTGGCGAGAACACCTCTAAGGACTCGGTCTGACGGAATCCCAGTGAGCTCATGTCCGTAAAGCCGCTGCAAAGCGTCGCGGTATCATTTTGGCAGGACGTTCGCGACAAGAAGCGTGCTCCACGCACTTACAACAAAGGGTCTGCTCCCCATGCAACTGTCGCCATCGATATTTGCTGTTGCGAAACTCTCCGACGAGGTCACTCGTCTTCCCTTGTGTCAAGTTGTTGGTCGCTGCAGCGCTTCTTGCTAAGTGGCAAAATATGATGGAAGCCTCTTTCCAGGGCGTGTCCCCGCGCAAGAGAAATATAATCACTGTGGGGGAACTACTTTCCCCCGAAGGCACGAACGAACATATGCATCTCGCTCATTTCTGGTCCATCATGGTTAGCGCCGCCAATCTTGAGGACAAATCTAGCCTAGGTCTTCGGTGCCGTGCAGCAGGTGATGAGCGACGCAGAAGAGCGGGTTCGACTGCGTCGGCATTCGCGCGTAAGTTGCCTGCGTAAGACGGCGCGTAAGCATCCTCACTTACAATGTAGCGTGCCGCGCTGACGGTCCGCGTAAGTCTTGGCGTAAGGTCGATTCGCTGTGTCATCTCCCATAACGCCCTCTCCATTTCGGTCGCTGCTCAAGTGGGAGCGAATCTGGCGAGCGCGACATGAGAACATGCCACGGATGTGCCCTTCCGCGCCACCGACGATCACCTGACAGCTCCGGGCCTCAGGTTCACAAGGCCCACACTATCGCCCCAGCGCAGGTGCGCTGCGGCCTTTTCTTCATCTGTGCGCACCTCTTCGACCGGTTTGCTTTGTCAGCGCCCTGGCTCGGGTAGCAGGCCCACTGGTTCTATTACAGACTCGCCCTCAAGTTCGCAAGTCTCCAGTCGCCAGTGCGCGCACCATCCTCCATGCTAGATGCCATCGCAGCGGCAGGCGCGCTGGTGACAGATCTGCGTCTGGCATGCGCGGGAGCGGCGCCCCGAGCCGTCCCCGCGTGTTGGCGCGCTCGTGGCTCTGCCACTTCCGGCGCCGAGCCGCACCCGTACCAAGCAGCCCTCCCGCGCGTCTGGTCCCCCAGGGGATCCAAGAATAGCTGGCGCCTGCGCCAAATGTACTCCACGCGCTCTGATCTACAGTTCTGAGAGCCCGCCTCGGCGCATCTCAAGGTACGCGCTCAACAAGCGATAGTGGTCTCTGAACTCAGAGAACTGTTTTTTTTGAATTCCAAAACCAGGTTTTCGAATTCAAAAAGCGGGTTTTTGAATTCAAACAGCAATTGATTTTTTGAATTCAAGAACCTGCAATCCGCCCATTCGATTGCAGTATGGGTGCTCGACCCCCCTGCAACGTCACCTAGTGCACCTGCCTGTCCAGCCTGGCGGGTGCGAACCCGTGCTCAACTCAAATCCTCCTTTCTCCCTCTTCCCTTCTCGCTCCACCCCCCTCACTCCTTGTTCTTCTTGCTACCTCCTTCCTCGCTGCTACCTCTGCCCTCCCTCCTCCTCCCTCCTCTGTCGCCTCTCCTCTTTCTCTCTCTCTCTCTTCCCTCTCCTCCCCCCTGCTCCTCCATACTCCTCCGTGCTCGCTCCAGCGCCCTCGCTCCTCCCTCGTCTGCTGCATTATTGGCACAGCCGCCTCGGGCAAGCCACCGCCGCCACCTGCCCGTTGCCACTGCCAGCGTGGCGAAGCGCTGGGCCACAGATCGACCAAGCAACTGGGCCACGAGCTCCGCCCGCCATCCTGGAACCGAAGGGTTGTTGTTGTTGTTGTTGTTGTTGTTGTTGTTGTTGTTGTTGTTGTTCGACCGGGGGGGGCAGGGCTGGCTTGATGCAAGGAGGCCGCCTTGGGGGCGTCTTGGGGGGCCTTTCGGGGCCGTCCTGGGGCCTGTCGCACTCTGTTGGAGGCCTCTTGGAGTAGTCCTGGGACCCTGTCGGGGCCCCTTCGGCCCTCTCAAAGTCCTCTTGGGCGATCTTGGGCCCATTCGACGCTTTCGTAGGCCAATCGGGACCTCAGAAGGCGACCTCGCGAAACTGACACTACAACCCAAGCACATCTGTTTAGTGTTTGCCAGCGTGACCCCCAAAGAGTAAGTTGCTGCACTGTGGATGAGGGATTATGTGGTGCTAGCTATGTGGTGTAGGCTAGGTGGTGCAACATATGCGGTGCAGCCATGAGATGTAAGCTATGTGGAGCAAGCTAGGTGTTGCGAGCGTTGTGGTGCAAGCTATGTGGTGCGACGTACGTGTTGCAATATGCGTGGCTCAAGCTTTGTGGTTCAAGCTACGTGGCGCAAGCTATGAGGTACTAGCTATGTGGTGCAATCTACGAGGTGGAAGCTATGGGATTCAAATGATTTGGTGCAAGATAGATGGTGCAAGATAGATGGTGGAAGCTCTGTGGTGCAAGGTAGATGGTGCAAGTTATGTGATGCACGCTATGCTGTGCAAACGGCATGGTGCAATGTACGTGGTGCAAGCTACGTGGTGCAAGCTCTGTGGTGCAACCCCCGCGACTCACCCGCGACCCACCTGCTGCCCACCATGTTGCTTTGCCGGAAAAAGAGAAAACACTCGTTGTTGCCAAAACATCGGGCCCTGTGGCGGGCTCATTCTAAATTCCTTCGAGCCTCGCAGACTGCCGACGACCCCCCCGCCTCGGCATTCTTGTCCGCAACTTTGGGGGTTATGGTTTTCCATTGCGACTAGCTTACAGTGGCCCCCAACTCGACGTACAAGACAAACAAGAGTTCAGCCCTGTGCGCCTTCAGAGGTGCCAGCCGAGTTCGAGTGCGCAGCGAAGGCAGCACGCAACGAGCGCACAGGGCGGCAGCTACGGCGGGTACATGCGGGCACACCAGACAAAATCGGCCGATGTCAAGTTGATCATGGCGTCAACGGTGTTATGGTAGGTTCGTGTCATGTTGAAGGGGCGGCGACACCGCTGCTAGCGTTCAAAACCGAACGCCGCCAGTTGCTCAGAATCCGCCGGAATAGAACGATCTGCCTATCGAAAAGCCGGCGACTTTTCAAGGTTGAACGATCCACGGGGTGTCAGAAACCAGCGCTGGGATCATCACGAAACGAACCTGCCGTACGCACGGTGAGGTATTTCAATTCAGCGATGTGCCCCCTGAGCATAACCATGGCCACCTGGGAGGCGAGGATTCGTGACTGGACCAGAAATTATCGGCGTGCTAGCATGCCGAAGTCCTTCGCTCCAGTCATCCTCGCATCCCAGATCCGTATGGCCCGTGGCGCTTCCCATGGACAATATCACCGTTCTGGAGTAGCATGGAGCCCGTAGGTGGGACAGTGAGTGTCGCCCTATCCAACACGATCCCTGTCCATTCGCCTCGCGAATCGATGCGAATGGACCCGTCCACCGCTGGGAGAGGGGTTCATTCGGAGGAGGACGAGGAGGAGGAGGAGGAGGAGGAGGAGGAGCAGGAGGCGGAGGAGCAGAGGCAGGAGAGGCGCTGGGAGGATGAGGACGAAATAGGGAGGGGGCCGCCAGGGGGGGAGGACGCGCCGATTTCCGCGGGGAGGTGCGCGCGCTCGACCCCATCCGGCGTGCGCAGGGCACCGCGAAGCACCCCCTCCTCCGCGGGGCCCCTCGTCGCCACGGCTGGGCCTCGGCGAGAGCGCACCCCCCAGACAGGCCCAGGGAGGCAGGGGGTCCTGGATGCTCCTCCCTCCTCCCTCCTCCCTCCTCCTCCTCCTCCTCCTCCTCCTCCTCCTCCTCCTCCTCCTCCTCCTCCTCCTCCTCTCCTCCTCCTCCTCTCCTCCTCCTCTCCTCCTCCTCCTCCTCCGTCCCTCCTCCTCCTTCTCGTCCTCCTCATCCTCCATCTCCTCCCCCTCCTCCTCCCCCATGGCCGTTGAACGTGTCAGGATGCAGCGCCAGTCCCGGGGAACGCCCCAGACCGCTCAGGCGGCCACCACGGACAGCATCGGCTTCTCCTGCCCCCGCCTCGGCCAGGGACCCTTCCGCCTGCCCCCGGGGACCACCATGACGCACACGAGGCCTGAGCTCAGCTGCCTCGCCACGCTGGTTTTTTGACACACAGCGCGTACCGTGCTCCAAGCGGCCGTGCCTATATATATATATATATATATATATATATATATATATATTGCGTGCTGGCTCAGCATGCTGGCCCACGGTTTGGCGGACGTATCGCATCATACCTACGTTGTCGGTCCACGTGTCGAGATCCGTGTCAACACGCTACGTCCTGCGTGTTGCGTATCGGGGCAGCTGAGATCCTGAGGGGCACGGGTCCTGAGGTGTTTGGGTGTTTCCGGGGTCCTGTGGCCCTCTCGGGGCTCTGGGACCGTCAGAGAATGATTCAGGAGGTACAGCTGCTCCCGGAGGCTGCCGTTTGGGCTCCGACCGCGCTCCGGCACGTCGGCAGCTCCCACGGCTTTCCCGTCAGAGGGGCACAGAGAAGCTCTGGCGTTCCCCGGCCGGGTGCTCCACACTCCTCGCGCCGCCGAGCGAGCCACAGCAAGACGGGGAGGGCGACGCACGCCTTGAGGATCGACGGACGAACGACTTATCTCGACCTGGCGAAAGACACGCCCGTGGCGTTCCTGCGTGGCGCTCGCGTGCCCAACCGCACCGACGCCGTCGACGTCTTCGAGCCGTGTGGTGGGGAGCTGCGCACTGGGACACCGCCGGCCTCGGCGCAATTCTTGCGCCGGAGGCGGCTCATGCCATCGGGAGGAGGAGGCGGAGGAGGAGGAGGAGGATGAGGATTCTTGTGGCGCCCTGGCGTGGTGCCCACGTGCCCAGCAACAGCGGCGCCCGCCCAAAGCAAAGATCGCCATTGGCCGTGTCGCGCCGAGAATGCCAACAAGGACCCGCAGCACTGTGCGAGCGCCGCCGCGCCGCCGTCGCTCGGATCTTCTTCGACCTGGCCATCTCGCCTGTTCACCCCTCGTCGCACGATTCCCTGCGCAACCGTGCTCCGCCACGTGCACACTGGACCCGTGGTGCCCGCTCGTGCGCTGGATCGCGCATAGTTATTAAGCTTGAGTCGGGCACGTCCCTCTACAGGAGGAATATTCAAAAATAGAGAAAAATAGTCGGGAGACGATTTATTTGGTATTTTCTGCTATGTTGGAGTATTGTTCGGATCTTTTCAATTTGTCGTTCAAAATCCCACTGTAGGAGGACATGCCCGACCTAGTATTAAGCACTTGGGGTGGTGCGCAGACGAAGATGGTGCAGGCGAGACATCATCGACGCCCTCCTTCGACAGAGGCGGCAACGACATCATGGAAAGCGACACGGAGGGAAGTGGCGCGCAGGGGCGCCAGTCGAGTACGTCCCTGGCTCTTGCTCGGGAGTGCATGTCTCCAAACGAGGTTCTGACCTGCAAGTGCGACGAGCTCCTTCCGAGCATGTTCGAGGCCATCGCGAAGAGCATGAACATTCACACCACATGCTGTGAAGGCATCCACAGAGCGGAGCAACTTACGAGCGCCCACAGTTATAGGAATGGTGGCCCACCAGCAGGTCTGTTTGATCTGTTCGAGGACTTCGCAGAGTGTGGCTGGAGGAAGGATCTTCTTGCGCAGGCACCCGCTTTCCAGTTTCAGTTTCGCGTTTCATGCTTCCTGCTCCTACTTCAGGCCAGCCCGCACTCCCAATCCCGTCCTGCTAGCGCTCGTGTTTGCGCGCGCGCTGGAGTGCGCCGCCGTGGATGCATCGGCCACCAGACACCCTCAGCGACGAGCCCAGATGTATCAGATTGTTGTTCGGCTCGGGAGCAGTGTCGTGCGGAGCGTCAGTGTCGCGCGGGGTGGCCGCCGAACTCGCCGGCGGTGACGTTCACGGACAACGCTGCCGCATTGTTGTGATTACTCATGGCTTCCACGTCGTCGTACACAGTAAGAGCCGGTACAGTCAACCCGAATAGTAAGGATAGGCAACCGTCCTAAGGGCAAGGGTACCCTTGCATTCTTGCATCCTCGGCCCAGCTTTCGCCGCTCTCGCTGGCCGCGCCCCGCTCGAGAAACTTCGACGTGGCCTTCCAAGGCCCTTGCATCCTTGACGCGCATCCTTACTATCCTGGTTGACTGTGCCGTGGGAAGGCCCTGGGGCCCAGGGCCCGTGGCCTTCGCGACCCGAACCTGCTGTGGTGGGATGGCCCCGTCGCGGACACGATCCCGCCCGGGCTCGAGCTGCCTCCGCCCCGGCTCCTTTAAGGAGGCCCTCCTCCTCCTCCTCCTCCTCCTCCTCCTCCTCCTCCTCCTCCTCCTCCTCCCTCCCTCCTTCCCTCCTTCCTTCCCTCCCCCCCATCCATCCCTCGCCTCCTCCTTCTCTTGCTCCTCCTCCTCCTCCTCCTCCTCCTCCTCCTTCTCCTCCTCCTCCTCCTGGTGAACTCGGTCTGAGCCCACCCCCCCGCTTCCAACGAGACCGCAAGCCCTCGCGGAGCGGCGAAGCGCCCCGTCTGTGGCGGCAGGGTGCGCTGCGCAAGCAAACGGTCCGCCGCTCCCACCATCGACGTCGTCATGATCCCGCCAGCATATTCGACGAATGTTCTGATGGTGTAGGGCCGCGCCGAGCGGCGCCTCAGCGGGTGAGCGACATCGGAACATTATCATGTTCATGTGTCACCCCTACTTCAACCCCTTCTGACATCATTACTTTTCTGGGTATTTCCAATCATTGTCTTCCCCGTCCCTCCTTTCTCTTCCTTCCCGATTCGTATCATGGATCATTATTCCTTGTCTTCCTGTCTCTCATCCTCCTCCTCTTCCTCCACCCCTTCGCCCTCGTCCTCTCCATCGTTCCGGTCCTCCCCATCCCCTACCTTGCCCCCCTTCCTCCTCGTCCTCCTCCTGCCTCTCGGCCTCGTCCTCCCAGTTCTCCTCTGCGCCGCCCATCAGCAGCCTCCCGGACTGCCGCGGCCCTGACACTCCTGCTGCGCCCGCTGCTTCGGCCCTACAGCTCAGACCTTACCACGTGGTGATTGCCTCACCCCAAGGAGGAGGAGGAGTAGTAGTGGTAGGAGGAGGAGGAGGAAGAGGAGGAGGCGGAGGAGGAGTAGGGGGAGGAGGGGGAGGAGGATCAGGAGAGGAGGCAGGGGAGGAAACGGAGAAGCGGAGGAGGCGAAGGAGAGTTCGCAGGACGATCATGACGACGACGGCGACGACGGCGACGACGACGACGACGACGAGGCCAGCCGACGAGGTTTCCATCCGTGTGCAGCGTAGATCTCGCCTTGTCCCCTCCCGACCCCCCCCGCGCAGGAGCGGCGCCTGAGGATGGTCGCGGAAAACCAGGCTCCCCCCCGTGTTTCGGGGCTGGGCAGCACCCCCACTCTGACACGTCGATTCGTGAATTGTCCGTTTTCGGTTCTCGAGAGGGCGCCCCGGCCGTCATTTTCCAGGCTTGCGCCCGCCAGGTTTTGGCCCGAGGTCGTTTTCTTCTCAACCACGTTTTGCTAAAGGGAGCTCTTTCCATCCCCGCGTGCCCCGTTCCCGCCCCGCACCCCTTCGCGCGCCCTGCCGCGGCCAACCCCGCACACGATGCAGCAGCGCCTGGTCGGGCGCGCCCGCGCACAGTCCTTCGGAGAGGCGGTCGTCCCCCCGGCAGTTCCAGTGGGGGGTCCGGGGTGGACAGACCTCCTGCCCTGACACGTCGATTAAGGAATTGGCCGTTTTCGGTTCGCGAGTGGGCGTCGCGGCCGTCATTTTTGCGGGTCCAGGTCCGTCGGTTTCGGTCCCAGGCCATTTTCACTAAGGGGAAGTCTACTAAAGAGAGGTTTGGCCACCGCCGATGGGGGCACTCTGCCCAAGGAAGGCCTACTCGTCGGCCGTTGAAAGTAGCCGCCGTTCTCGCCAGCCGTTGAAAGTAGCGCGAAGTCGGCCCCCGAGGGGTCCAACGGGGCGGCCCTAACGCAGCCCAAGAGGGCGCCAGACGGGGCCCAAGAGGCACCCACGATGGCCCGAGAGGCCCCCAGGCGGGTCCAAGAGCGGGCCCCGAGGGTCCTCCTCCTGCTCCTGCTCCTGCTCCTGCTCCTGGTCTCGCCGGCCGTTGATATCTCTGGATTCCCAGATCCCAATCTCTTGTAGCCGCCCTCTTATTTCAAGAGTCGAGCGGTTTTCCCGCTTCCCTCTTCGGGGGGGCGGGCGGAAGCCTAATCTATTTCCAACGCCTTCCTACGTCAGGTTTCGGCCCACTTCTTCTGACCGACGGGTTAACGTATATGAAGGCACCGCGCCACTGGAGGCAAAGCTTGCCTCAGAAAGAGCGTTTGTTGCTGCCCTCAGTGAGGGCATGGCTCTCCGCCCTGGCGGCAAACCAAGCTGGGCCTCCAGTGACAGTTTCTTGCCTTCGGCCAAGGGTGCTGCCTCATGTGAACCGCTTTCCTGCTTTTTGCTTCTCGCGCTCGCCGAGCGTCCCCCTGCCCGCCGAAGCGCCCGACCGCCGAGGCCGCGACGGGGCGCACCCGAGGGCGCGCGCACGAGCGAGCGACGCGCGGCAGCGGGCGGCGAAGCCGGCAGCGGGCAGGCGGCAGCCAGCGCCTTCGTCCCGCCAAGGGCTGGGCGACTCGGAGGCAGCTCCCCCCACGGCAGCCGTCGGCGCCCCGAGCGGCCCCAGGCCCGATCGGCGGGCGCCGCGGCCCGAGAGGCCGGAGGGCCTTGAGGGCGGCAGCGCCACCGGCCCAGCACGGAGCCCCGCCTCGGCGGAGAGGCGCAGCGGCACTCCTGCGTGTACCGGTGGCGATGGCGATGCTCGTTGGATGCTGAGCGCACCCTGCACTCGTGACGATCGTATGGTTAAGTCGGGCCTGTCCCTCTACAGAGGAATACGTAGCACCCCGCAATTGCGGATAAGAGTGAGGGGGCGGGGGCGGGCGACGCGGGCGTCGTCGAGCCGGCGGACCTCGTGGCCCCCACCTTCCCTGTCGATGGCGCTCTCCTCCTCCTCCTCCTCCTCCTCCTCCTCCTCCTCCTCCTCCTCTTCCTCGTCCTCGTCCTCATCGTCATCGTCATCCCCTCCTCCACCTCGTCCTCCTCCTCCTCTTCCCTCGTCCTCCCTCTCCCCCCCTTGTCCTTTCATCATCGTCCTCCCATGTCGTCCTCCCCCTCATCGGCCTCCATCATCGTCCTCCCATTGTCGTCCATCATCATCATCATCATCATCATCATCATCATCATCATCATCATCATCAATCATCATCATCCCCTCGTCCCCTCCTCGTCCTCCTCCTCCTCCTCCTCCCCCTCCTCCCCCTCCTCCCCCTCCTCGTCCTCCTGCTCATCCTCCATTTCTTTCTCCACATTATCCTTACATCCTCTCTTCTTCCGCGTTCTCCTCGTCCCCTGTTTACTCCTCCTGCCTCCCCCTACTTTCCCAAGGTAACTGCAACGCAATTCTTTTTTCCACGTTATGCTCCCCGCCTTCTCTGATCAAGGCAACTCGCCAGGTCAGAGTTTCTGGAAGGGCTGGTGTGGATGCGCGGGGCTTGAAGAGGTCCTTGCGGGCTCAGACGGCATGCAGAAATCCGCCGCCGCGCTTGTGCGGCATTGGTTTGTTCAGTGAACGTGGTTTAGGTCGCGGGTGGGTCGCGGGTTGTCCACCCCACCTGGGAGGAATGCAAAAGCAGCCCGCCGCAGGCGCCAAAACAATTGATTTGTACACTGAACGTGGTCTGGGTCGCGGGTGGGCCGCGGGTTCTCCACCGGGAACGAATGCAAAAGATGCCCGCCGCAGGCGCCGAAAAATGTTGTTTGTACCCTGAACGTGGTTTGGGTCGCGGGTTGGTCGCGAGTTGGGTCGCGGGCTCTTCACTTGGAAAGAATGCCCAAAAAACCCGCCGCAGGCGCTGAAAATGGTGGTTTGTACCTGGAACGTGGTTTGGGTCGCGCGGGTGGGTCGCGGGGTGGGTCGCGGGTGGGTCGCGGGTGGGTCGCGGGTGGGTCGCGGGTGGGTCGCGGGTGGGTCGCGGGGTGGGCCGCGGGCGGGTCGCGGGGTGGGTCGCGGGGTGGGTCGCGGGGTGGGTCGCGGGGTGGGTCGCGGGGTGGGTCGCGGGATGGGTCGCGGGGTGGTCGCGGGTGGGTCGCGGGGTGGTCGCGGGATGGGTCGCGGGATGGGTCGCGGGTGGGTCGCGGGGCGGGTTGCGGGTGGGACGACGACAACAAACAACAACCACAAACAACAACGAGAATCCGCACCGCGGAATTCCACTTCAGCCACGAAGCCAGGGACAGTGAATGACCGTTCGGCCCCCTCACTCTGATTCATGTTTTGCGTATTTTTTCTGTTCCGTCCAAAATCCTCCTGTAGGGGGACAGGGCCGACCTAATGGTATGGTTTCGGACTCGCGAATTTGGGCTGCAGAATTATTGCCCAAGCTCTCTGGGCCCACATGGTCCGAGCCCAAATGACCAGGGTTCCACGCGTGATCCCCAGCTTCCGGAGATCCCAGAGAAGGGCCAGCGGACATCTCCAAAGTCCGGCGGCACGCCAAGGGGAGAAACAAGCTAATCAGGGGCAGGCCTTCTCAGAAGGCGGCGGGGTTTCTGAGAAATTCAGCCCCCTCTGCCTTCCAACCTTTCGTGCGGGGCTACGACGAGGATCAATCCGCTCCAGAGCGTTCCAGAACGCTATCAGGGCGTTCTGGAAAGCTCCGAGAAGGCCGCGGCGCCCGATACATTCTCCAGAGCCGCCGGATCTCGGAGGTTCTCGATTTATCCCCACCCGGGTTGATCCTCGTCCTGCCGAAGCCACGCTCATCCATGTTTGCGCGCTCCCGGTGCAGGTGCGCGCATGCATGCGGCTCGCCTGGCGCATCCCCTCAGATCATGGCCAGCGGCTGCTACATTTCAGAAGAGGAAAATCCTGAGACCCTGGCGTTGCAATTTTTCAGAAAGGGCGTTTTCGCTCCGTTTCCAGCCCCGGGATCCTCACATATCGATCTGTATCGAAAACTGACGCAGAAAGATAGGAGTCCGGGGCTCTGGTCGTGATTTGTTTTGCGTTGTTGCAGAATTTGTTCGCAACGTCGGATCCCAGGGAAGGCAAGGATACCGCGACCCTTGCAGCCTCGTTTTCCCCTTTTTGGGGCCTGCTGGAAAGCCTCGTCGCCATCGCTGGACTCGCTCGAAGTTCTGGTGAACACGTTCCTCGGGAGAGGTCCAGGGAGTAGCGGTATCGGAGCCTTGCTGTTTCCCGAACACCTTTGCGGAGGAGGATGAGGGTGCGGATGGCCGTCTTGGGGCACGTGGCTCTTGTGGGGCTTCTGGAGGCCTCTGGAGGCCTCCGGGGAGCTGAGGTCTCCAGGGAGGCCTGGGGGTCCCCAGTCCGTGTGGTGCTGGACCGAGCGGTGACCTCGAGCTCCCGAAGGACCTCCTCGCACGGTCCGCCACCGCACGGCCTTGGCGGACCTCGGACCTCGGAGGCCCCGGGCGCCCGAGGCACCCTGGGAGAACGGCCCGAGCACGGGAGCCACGCGGCCACCCCGCATGCCCACCTACCAGCCACACCGCGTGGTCACCACACCGTTCGGCGAAATCCGAGCCCTGCCCCCGCCAATCCACGATCCAGGCAACTCGACGGGCGGCGGGGGCAGGGTGTGGGATTCGTCGAGCACGTGGCGAGCTCCGAACCCTTTCCCCCGCCCGGCACCGATTCGGCCGAATCGATGGTTGATGGGGGTAGGGTCCGGATGTCGCAACCTGACCCTGCTCCGCCCCACCCCCCATCCGGGTGGCCGCTCCTCCTCCTCCTCCTCCTCCTCCTCCTGCTCCTCCTCTTTTTCCTCCTCCTCCTCCTGCTGAACCCGCGGCCCCAGCACCCACCTCACTTTGTGATGGGTGTCGACTGGGGCCAGGCGTGTGAGGCAAGTCCACAGCACGCACTAAGGGGCCAGCAGCTCCTCCTCCTCCTCCTCCCTCCTCCTCCCTCCTCCTGCTCCTCCTGCTCCTGCTCCTGCTCCTCCTCCTCCTCCTCTTTCTCTTTCTCCTGCTCCTCCTCCTCCTCCTCCTCCTCCTCCTCCTCCTCCTCCTCCTCCTTCTCCTCCTCCTCCTCCTCCTCCCCCTCCCCTTGCTCCCCCTCCCCCTCCCCCTCCTCCCCGTCCCCCCCCCCTCCTCTTCCTCCTCCGCCCCAGCCCCCATCCGCGTGGCCGCCAAGTGCGGCGCCTGCTCGCCGCTGGGTCCGCCGGCGCCGCCGGCGCCCCGCCGTCGGCGCCTCCTGCTGCGCCGTGTGCGGCGCCTTGCTCTGCACGCCCGGCCTGGGCGGTGGCGGGTCTCTCGTCGCCTCGTCGTGCCCCCCAGAGGGGATAGGCACCGCGATACCGAGAAGGGATCAGCATCTATATCTATATATATATATATATAGAGATATACACTAACAGTAATATCTAACTTTATATGTATGTATATATGTATGTATGCATGTATGTATGTATGTATGTATGTATGTCTGTATGTATGTATGTATGTATATATATATATATATATGTATATCCCCACCTCGGGGACAAGTCGGCCAGCGGGGGCCAGCGGGGCCGAGGCCATGCCCCAGGGTGTGGGGATCCCAGGTCCCGCAGCTTCGCGCACCTCGCCCCGCGAGGTGCGACGCGCGGTCAGCTTCGTGCCCCGTCGCGGCAGGTCTCCGGCGATGTTGTTCTTTTTGGTGTCGATCCGATCGTTTTGCTTTGCTTTCTTGGCCTCTGGGGCCCGTCAGCGTGCCCCAGGGCCATACGAAAGGGGCCCGGGGCGAAAGGCTGGCCCCAGGGCACCTGCTGTGGCCGCGGATCGGAAAACCAGCGACTCGGCAGATGTCTGGGTCCCTGGTCGCGTCCTTCGTCTGCCCCCTTGCGCCGGGCTGCGTCACTGAGTCCTGCACGACTCGTATACGGCAGGCTCGCGTCGTGCCGACCGGCGGCGACCCCACCGCGCGCGTGTGAGGTTGAACGCCGCACGTGGCCCAGAATCGGCCCGTCGTTGAACTATCCGGCGTTCACGGAGCGTCCGATCGTTCAAGTTTGAACGATCCCCGCGGTGTCAAGGACCAACGCCGGGGTCGACACGACGCGAACCTGCTTTATGGCGGTCCCCAGTTCGCTCGATGCGACGCGTCTGTCCAGCTCCGTCGCTTCTCTCTCCATCTTCGTGCGTCGTCGCTCGTCTCCTTGCCCCGCCATCGTTGGTCGTGGTCGGATCCCGCTTCCCCCCTCCCGTTTTGCCGGTCTGGTGCATGACGCTCGTTTGCCAGTCTTCCACACTGCGGCTCTCGCATCGGCTCGCCTCTAAACTCGGGAGAGGTCGGCCTGGGCTCAAGAGCGTTCGCCTTACGTTCGCCCTCAACTTACGTTGACGCATCTTGTTAACTGATGGCCGGTCGTTGGTACAAAGCTGCGGAGGAGGGACATTGCGTGTGTGCGTGTGTGTGTGTGTGTGTGTTTTGTCTGACAGTCCGTCTCAGTCTCTCCTTCTCTCTCCCGTTCTCTCTTGCTCTCTTTCTCCGACCGACTGCACAGTTTCCCTCAACCCTCTTCGGCTGTATGGATTTAGATCGATGTCCAGTGGGTTCACGGTGGCCCGGCTCTTTTGCGATCATGGTGTTTTTCGGGCGCCAAATGTCAGAGGAGCTTTATCGCGTAAGTAATCCAACGCAGCGCATTTCGACCGTTGGTTCAGTGGATCACCCTCAACTTGCCTTGGGATCTCTTGCAAATTCCTGCCACGCTCCACCTCCTCCTCCTCCTCCTCCTCTTCCTCCTCCTCCTCCTCCTCCTCCTCCTCCTCCTCCTCCTCCTCCTCCTCCTCCTCCTCCCCCAGCGCTTCTGTTTGTGACATGCCGTTCCCGCGCCCGTCTGGTCAGCTCTCCGCAGGGGGCTGCCCTCGATCTCCACGTGGCCGCCTCTGGAAATCTGAACTTGCCAAACCACCCCAACCCAACCCGAAGGTCCTAGACACTCCCAGATGTCCAGTTGGAGGGTGTACGGACTCCACGATGTTCTCGCGATGTTCCTGAACGCCCCCAGGCACATCTGCGACTTCAGGCTGGGTTTGGGAGGGTTGGTGTGTGGTTAGTTCGGGGGCGCGTCTCTTACTCCTGCCAGCCTTCCGCCAGCTTGCTCCGGCGGACTCGCCGCCGTTCTTTGTCCGCCAGCCTCCGCCGACCTCCCGGCGCCTCCCGGCGGATAGAGCCGCCAAACGCCTCGGATTCTCGGAGGGCGAACGAGGCCACTTCTGGAGCGAGACCACATGTGCATGGTGATCTTCTGGCGCACCCGCCAGTGTGGTGCGACACCCTTCTCCTCCTCCTCGTCCTCTTCCTCGTCCTCCTCCTCCTCCTCCTCCTCCTCCTGCTCCTCCCCCTCCTCCTTCTGCTCCTCCTCCCTCGCCCTTCTCAGTCCTCCTCGCTCTCCCTCGATCCCTCCTGCACATCACTCCTCCTCCAGATCCTTCCTCCTCCCTTCCCCTCCCCCTCTTCCCTGTGGCGCACCTGCACGTCCCCTGCAGCTGCCCTCTTTCAAAGAACCGAAGAAGAAACTTGACTGGATCTGCGCTGAAGCCGCCTGTCGGCCAGGGAGGGAGGTCCAACGCAGCTCCACCCTCGCGGACCTCCGACAGTTTATGTATATGTGATCTGCCCTCTTTTATGATGAGCCAATCCGACATTTCCGCGAACACAGCACAGGCCATCGCCAACATGAAGAGCCAGAAGGACGCCGAGGAGAAGGCGTGGCTGTTTGAAACACCAGGGGCCAAATCGGGGTCTTTCGGGGCTGGGGGTGGGGACAATGGCTGGGGGTTGCATCTGTCATGTCTACTCCTCCTCTGGGGAGTTCCCCCTCAGGATGCAACCTCTGGGGGTTGAAGGCAGCATCGGCGCTGGTATATCCGTGATCGAAATCTGGCCTTATCTGGCATGATCCCGCTTAATTGGGCGAATCCCGCTTAATCTAGATGAATTCCGCTCAATCTCGCGTAATCCTGGGCCTAGTCCGGTTTTGTCTGGCTGAGCGACGCGGTATTGGGCTTCATAGTCTTCATAGCACCTAGTTGTTCTTACGAAGACATCCCAGGTGTTGCCTCCTACCGCCCCCTGCCCTGAACCCCATCCCCCCATCCGCGCTGGTTGGCGGGGGATATTCCAGTCGGCCAGCAGGCTGCGTACGCAATCTGGGAGCCCAGCGGCACGGCGCCTCGACTGGGGCACGGCAAGTGAGGCCGCGCGCAAGACGCCGATGGAGTCGGGAGGATGGTGGCTCCGTTCTCGTCAGGTCTCCGGCCTTCCCGCTGATGGTGTACTTGGTAAAGTGGTTTCCCCCCCTCTCCTGCTTCGTGCGGGCGAGAAGGAATCATACCCGTGTCCGCGGCCTCGTGGGCGGGGCCCTTTGGGCCGCGACCTCGCGGATACGGGGCGTTTGTTTGTTTTGTGTGTCGCGGATGCGCCCCGCAGAACGGGATCGTGTCCACATAAATCCAAACCGCGAGGGCGCGGGAACGGATCTTTTCGCCGAGCGCGAGCTTCTTTCTCTTTCGATCCGCTTTCCTGTCTCCTTCATTGACAGGTGCACGCGTCTGGGGGTGGATGGAGGGCGCGGGACATCCTGTGAGGGCCGAGGAGGAGTAGAGGAAGGGATGTGGTGGAGGAGGCGGAGCAGGAGCAGCGGTAGGAGGAGGAGGAGGAGGAGGAGGAGGAGGAGGAGGAGGAGGAGGAGGAGGAGGAGGAGGAGGAGGAGCTGGGGAGGACTGGAGGAGGAGTAGGAGGAGTAGGAGGAGGAGGAGGAGGAGAAGGAGGAGGAGGAGGAGGAGCAACAGGCCCAGACCCCCGACGTCATTTTTTCCACGACGTGGGGCCCCAGAGGCCTGGACCACTTCCCGTGGCCAGTCGTGCAGCCCGGGCCGTTTTTGATGGTCGGGTGGCTTGGTGAGGCCCCCAGGGACCAACATTTGGCAAGCATCTTCCGTCAGGATTGTGTCAAGACGCGAGGAGGTCTGGGGGGAGGAGGAGGAGGAGGAGGAGGAGGAGGAGGAGGAGGAGGAGGAGGAACAGGAGCAGGAGGAGGAGGAGGAACAGGAGCAGGAGGAGGAGGAGGAACAGGAGCAGGAGCAGGATCAGGAGCAGGAGCACGAGCAGGAGCAGGATCGGGAGCAGGAGCAGGAGCTGGAGGAGGAGGATGAGGAGGAGGTGGTGGTGTAAAAGCAGGAAGAGGCGGAGTAGGAGTAGGAGGAGGAGGATGAGGAGAAGGAGGAGGAGGAGGAACAGGAAGAAAACGAGCAGGAGGAGGAGCAAACCGCTATCGCCCGATCCCGCCCGTTTTACCCTACAGGGGGGCCGAGGCGGCGGCCAGCGCAGCCATATTGACAACCTGAAGTGTTTCTCTCGCCCGCGGCGGGGGGCCACGCCGACATCGACGACAAGAACCACATCAACATCGGCGGCAACGTGCGGACGTCCGCGTTCAACTACGGCTTCACAAGGCACGGTACCTGTTCAAACTCTTCACAGTGCGGAACAACCACATCGACATCCACCACGAGCCCCCGCAAAGGCGGCACCGTGGGGATCCACCGCGAGCAGGCCATCGAGTACACCACCGCCGTGGAGACCAACATCGAACCACGCCCCAAGCAGGGGACCACCGACGCGCCCAGCTGAAGCCTCGGTCGGCGCAGGCCTCGGGAGGTGGAGGCAAGGCGGATGTTCCGCACAATGGGCAGCCCAACGCACAGCACCCACTGGAACAAGGGCGTCGGCAATGACACCAAGGGAACCAGTGGCAAGGGCCAGGGCTGCTTCCCCAAACCGTGCGACGACCACATAGTGTACGCCAACCAGCCGCAGAAGGGCAAACACACGGAGAAAAGGGGCAAGGGCAAACACCCACCCATTTCAAAGGAGAATGCCACAACCAAGGAGAAGCAGAGGGAGTCCAACCATGACTAATTCGATCACCTCGACAGCATCATCAACAACGCCATGCCAATGCGCAATGTCTACGCCGGAGCATCCGCCCCGCCGGTGGCGCCCTGAGCCGGCACAGCGTTCTGCGCAACGCGGCGAGGGAACGCAGCCGGGGAGCTTCGCCAGCGCCTCGCTCTTGCCTGGGGATCGGTCTTCGTGGGCTCCGGCGGGCAGTGGATGTGGATGTATTGGGGCACTGGTAGAGCACATTTGGGAGGAAATGTTTTTGGGGATGGGATCAGGTGGGTACGCATCAACCCCCAATCGATGATTGATCACCGACTGGGGCCCTATAGCACGTCCCTCTCAGGAACGAGTGGGTTTGCTATCGGGGGTTGATCGCCGAGATATCGGCGATGTAGTACTTTTTCCAAGTCGATGGTGCCCCGCCTGAGCCAGTCCACCCCTGTCATCCCCTCTTACACATGTATCCAAATCCGCCGCCTGTCGAAGTCCCCGAAGATCTATCCCTAAGACGGTGGTGATGGGCACCCCTTTGTTGCACACGAAGCAGGCTTAGTGCGAACACAACAAGTCAGCAGCCAGCCGTGAACGTCCCCTGACCGGCGAGCGCTAGGGTGCGGTTGCAGGCGCCGAGGTTGCGCCACGCGCGCTGGCAGCGCGCCACGGATGTGCCACGTTGGGTGCTTCTCTTGGGTAATCTGCGCTGCGCTGGCGGCAGCGTGGCGGACTTCGCAGGGCTGGCTGCGCGCCGCATCGCGCAGCTTCCACAGGTGCCCGACTAGGGGTCGCTGCGCCAGGGGTCGGCGACCGCGCCTGCCGCCCGTTTGGTCCGCCAGGGAAGACACGTTCGGTGCGGGCCTGGCAGTTTTGCGGAGCCTCGCGCTGGGCTTGTGCCGCGACAGCACGCCCCTGCGTCTGGCACGAACCCCGAGGCAGGGTTCGGCGCGGCGCACTTCGCCACCGGCGAGACTGTCTCTGCGCGCCGCGTGTGTTCGGTGGTTAGCAACCTGCGGGCGGGCGCTTCCTCGCGCAGTCGCAGCTGGCAGCGCCGATGGGCACAGCGCAGATGTTCCCTCCACGCCAACGGAGCTGGTGCATCGCGCCGATGCGGCAAATCCTCCGATTCTGTTGGGTCTAGGCCTCCCAAGTAAGTCCGATTCGATTAGCTGGTGTCGGAGGATCGCGCCGCATCGCCGATGCATCGGCTATGCGGCTCGATGTGGAGTCCTCCGAATCATCGCCGATGCATCGCCGAGTCATCGGTGATGCATCGACGAGGCGGCGATATCCCTTGACCCCCTGTATTCCGACCCCAGGTGGGAGGCCTCTAATAGTGCCTCCGCCTATGCAGGGTAACCGCGGTCGGCATCGACAGCAAGGACAGTGCGGATTTGTGTTGGAAGGCCTGGCGATAGGATGCGGTTGTCGCCCAACCTTTGGTTTTAAAGCTTGACCGAACCACGTCGTGGGCAATCGGGGCGGTGAGTGCGGGTCGTCAGATCGCGGACCGAGGAGCCCGAACTGACATAGCATTCGCCGTGCGTATGGCATTCGTGGCAATATCGTTTGCACATATGTCGCCAGGCGAACTCCCGATGGGCATGGTTACCCAGCAGTCCAGACTATACGCAGCCGCTCTAGTTCTGCACCGGGGGACGCCGCCATACTTGACGACGAGCGCCTGCGCGATGGGAGGTTCGGCTGCGTCAACAGCGCCACTTGCACGGACGTGTGCGCGTTGTCCAGCGAAGCGGCCGGGAAAAAGGTTCGCGGCAACACCAACGTCACGTGACGCTGCATTGTGTGATCGGCACGGGGCAAGGGTGTACGACGCGATCGCACGGTGGACGCGTTGAAAGTCACGAAGGGGTGGCCTGCTGGACGAGCAGACGGAAAGGATGTGGATGAATACCGTGGAATCCCATGCCAAGAACTGCCCTACTGTTTCCAAGTCGCCGCCATATCGCTTGTATTTTTTGTTTTTGGAATGCAGGCTTGCAGCGGACGCGAAGAACCCACAGCTGGCAGGGTACCCTGACTGTATTGGCGGTGGGATGCCCGGCGCGAGCCATGCATACTTGCAGAATCCTTGCAGCCGTTGAGCAAGACATCCAAACCTGGCCAACACAACTTCTGCCATTTTCAAGGGGTGGGTTTCTTGCGATGGGTGTCCTGTTGACTATGAGTGTAGCGGGTCGCACAGTGTGATCTGATTGCCACTGGCGCCTCGCGCCACACTTTCTATGCGCCAGTGTCAAAGCCATTGCCTGACAACGGCTTCACGCGATTACATCTTCATCACCGAGCCTGTCTTGCGCGCCTGTTGATTTGCATTTGTTGAAAGATGCCCGTCGGTATGTTTCTGGTGTTTTGGGAGATAGTTGCCCCACATCCGAAGTGGTGCTTTGGTTTTCTCAGCGCACCCCCCGCGCAGGATCCGTTCCTCCTCCCCCCTTCAGTTCCCCGCTCGCGCACCCGCGCAATTACGCACTCATCATCACCATGACCGCCATCACCCAGTCACTTTCTCACCATCATCACCCACTCACGCACCCACATCGTCTCATCCCCATTATCGAGGAAGGTTCAGGCGGAAGCCCCTGGGCTCGCAGCTCATGCTACTAACTTGTAACTCTCGCCGTCTTCGGCCTCCACAGGCCTGATGATGGAGGAAGTCTCGAAGGGGGCGCCTGGTCGGTGGGTGAACTGCAAGGAAGTCTGGCGCGAGACCCCCCTCCCCATGGGGACCGCGAGTCAGATCACGAACGCCAGCGGGTCATCCTCTAACCTGTCCTTGTGGCCATTTCGGGTTTTTTAATGTCATATGGAGGACGTCTCGAGCGGGAACTTCGTCGGTGAGAGAAATGCGAGGGAGTTTCACGCGGGACACCTCCGTCACAATGGGGTCCGCAAGCCACGTTCCGATCCCAGCTGGTCACCCTCAAACATGTAGCTGTCGTTGTCTTTTGGCTCCCCAGGCTTGAATCTGGGGGGTGTCTCTATCCGGAGTTCGGTCGGTGAGTGAATTGCGGTGCGGTCTCACGCGGGACCAATCCCCCTCGATGGAGCCCGCAGATCATGTTATTGATCTCAGTGGGTGGTCCTAAACCTTGCCCAGGTCTGAACTTGGCGGAAGTCTCAAGCGAGCATCCACCCTCGAACTTGTAGCAGCCGTCTTTTTTAGGTTCTTGAGACTATGAATGAAGTTTCGGGCGGGGGCTTCGTTTGTGAGCGGGTCGTGGGGAAGTCTTGAACGGGAACTTCTTCGTATGGGGTCCCCGCCTCCATGCTCG